GGGAGGGAGCGGAGGCCATGGAGTATTGGGGGTAGGGGGGTACAATGATAAGTGAGTGGGGAGTGGGGGGAGTGAGTGGGGAGTGAGATGGGGATAGGGGTGATATTGGGAGTGGGGTGAGATGGGGTGTTGGGTGAGATAGGGAAAGGGGTGAGATGGGGTGAGATTGGGAGTGGGGTGAGATGGGATGTTGGGTGAGATGGGGATAGGGGTGATATGGGGTGAGATGGGGATAGGGGTGAGATGGGGGAGTGGAGTTAGATGTAGACAGCCAGATGGTATTGTAGCTGATTGGTAAACAAAGAGATACACTAGTTTACAACTAGCATATATACACACATGTATACACAGACATACTGGGACAAAAAAAGACTCAAGTCAGAATAACTAGAGCAGACTTTAGTCAGTGTGACTAGAGCAGACTCAAAATTGTTACCTTGGTTTTTCACTTCAGCAAATTCATGATTGTATTCTTCCAGTGTCTCCCGAAGCTGTTTGTTTTCAATCTCCAAATCACTGACTCGATGTGCTTTCTTCTGAAGTTGTGAGGCATATTCAAGTACGGACACAGGATCTGTCAAAAGAGGCACAGCGATTAGACTCGTGTGATTAATACATCACCACAGGCAAGCCACGAAAAAATCACTAATTGATTTTCCTTCAAATACATGTACTAGCCATAAACAAGCTACATAGCCCCTGGCTGACGGGGGACCGGAGGGTTCAGCCCCCCTCTTGAGGATGGAGGCACGGAGCTAATTGATAAGTTTTTTAGATCTCTGCAGTGATGCCTGTATATATTGCTAGCACACACTTATGATTTGCTATCATCACAGGGTTCAATAAAAAACATTTAATATATATTTTCTGGGTTTACACTGTGATTTCTTGGTTGGCGTGTGTATAGAGGGTTAATGGGAAGTTCTGTGTGGTATAATGATAAGATGTGATCAACTCCAGCGTCAAGTGGAACAAAAAAACTCCTTTCAGAAACGGCAAACATAAAGCACCAAGGTTCAGTCGCCGACATTAGTTATCAGAGCCGCATCATAGCACAGCTTCAACTTCAAGTAGGCTGGAGTTACCTGTGTATCTTCTACCTTATCACGTCATTCCAAAATCACTTGTCTCAATTTAAAACAAAAAACCCGAAACTACAAATAAGCTGTTAAGACTGAAAAATCATTTCGCTGGCAAACAATATTTATCAATAAAAGTTCTCAGCCGGTAGTCTCCATCTCCCCCTCTGCAGGCAAATACTACATTTCATTTGTCTAACTCTTTCTATCTGTGTTCGACATCAGACACGGCGGCACTTGATCGTGGACCCAATGCCAGGTAGTGTACAGCAGTTAGGTGGGTTGGATTGAATGAATTATATGTTATGTACAACAATCTACACCAGGTCTCTCTCAATAATACAGATATAATTACAATTCTCTCCAATAAAAATATAGCCACACAAGCCCAAACAATACAAGAAAACGACACATATCAGCCTCGGTCTTGTCTACAGCAACGCTCATCTCATTTATAACACGGCTCGTATTAAACTGCTATTACTCTGTAGGAAATTAAAATTCAATCTGCATTAAGAGAGTGTGTAGAAATTCTAGCCCCGTCACTGGGTGGCTAGTCTCCTCGTAAACGGTGTAACCTGCGTGGAGACACGTTAATATGGGCTTATACCTTAGTCAATTACTAGCACCTGTTTAGGATCAGGTGTGGCCCCCTCCGAAGCTACAGGTGGATACCTATACAGGTAGCAACGAAGGCAGCATCTTCTGTACAATGACGACCTGTTGTGCAGGTAGATTTTATTATCACAGCCCAAACATTTGTACTATCCACGATTAATTTGATTGACATCAAGTCAATAATCCTGGGTTTTTAGTTCATTACAGCAGACATACGATATTGTAACCCTGAATTTCTAATTCTATACAAGACTTATAGAGCCCTCAATAACTAATACAATAGATTTTCAGTTACCAACAGTTTTGTGATGCTGAGTGTTTAATTTGTTGATTTATTCATCTCGTAACTTTCACTAGAGAATTCTATAGTCCTAAAATCTAAATTCAATATCATCTTTATTCATTATAATGAGTTGTGATTTTGTCCTTGTACACTATTGGTCTGGGTTCGATTCCCCGATCAGACGTGAAAAGATATGATTTCACCTACCCAACCACGTGGGTTAGCTCGCTAACATCCAGGCCAACAAGAGTGATTGATATAAGTTGTAATAATGTGTTTCTACGACAGTGACTATGACCTCTATCCGCTTCTTCCACTGCCTTGCTTCGTTTGGACAGCGAGTCAACTTCTGCTTGGAAACTTTTCTGTATCAGTGACTATGACCTCCTGAACTTGTTTTTATAACAGTGACTGTGACCTCTGAACTTGTTTTTATAACAGTGACTGTGACCTCCTGAACTTGTTTCTATAACAGTGACTGTGACCTCTGAACTTGTTTCTATAACAGTGACTATGACCTCCTGAACTTGTTTCTATAACAGTGACTGTGACCTCTGAACTTGTTTCTATAACAGTGACTATGACCTCTGAACTTGTTTCTATAACAGTGACTATGACCTCTGAACTTGTTTCTATAACAGTGACTATGACCTCTGAACTTGTTTCTATAACAGTGACTATGACCTCTGAACTTGTTTCTATAACAGTGACTATGACCTCTGAACTTGTTTCTATAACAGTGACTATGACCTCTGAACTTGTTTCTATAACAGTGACTATGACCTCTGAACTTGTTTCTATAACAGTGACTATGACCTCTGAACTTGTTTCTATAACAGTGACTATGACCTCTGAACTTGTTTCTATAACAGTGACTATGACCTCTGAACTTGTTTCTATAACAGTGACTATGACCTCTGAACTTGTTTCTATAACAGTGACTATGACCTCTGAACTTGTTTCTATAACAGTGACTATGACCTCTGAACTTGTTTCTATAACAGTGACTATGACCTCTGAACTTGTTTCTATAACAGTGACTATGACCTCTGAACTTGTTTCTATAACAGTGACTATGACCTCTGAACTTGTTTCTATAACAGTGACTATGACCTCTGACCTTGTTTCTATAACAGTGACTTACCTGGAAGGTCAATAATCTTTCTATACACAGACAAGAACGCTCCTTCTGCTGCCTTGCTTCGTTTGGACAGCGAGTCAACTTCTGCTTGGAAACTTTTCAATAGGGGTGCCACAAGTTTACGTAATTCCTGTGGGGAAAAAAAAGTAAGTAAATTAGACCAAAAGAGCAGTACATGGTATTGTGAAAATGACGCATTATCAATGGTTTACAAAGGATGACAAAAGTTTATGGAACTCCAGTGGGGGAAAAAACACCAAAAGTTTTTGGTCCCATTTAAAAGAACAGTATCTGATATTTTGATTTAAGAAATTCATGTACTATCAATGTTTTACAATGGACGACACAATTTTACACCGTTCCTGTGGTAAAAAACACCTAAGGCTTCCACAGACTGATGAATGTCGCCTGTCCATCCACAGCCCTATCTGATGCTTGGATCGCACGAAGAAGCCGAGATGCCACTATATATAGGACACCTAAGTCCCACCTTCGCGACATCTTTTGCAGGCGGGACAAAAAATGAAATGAACTTGATATTTTAACTTGATAAAATGACAAATAGTTACAATAATAAGTGTATCACATGATTATGTGAACAATATAATTGTGATCAAAACATTTCCCCAAATATTGGTGATTAAGCACTTTGACCCCGAGTCCACAGATGATGGGGCTACTTTAAAGTGCCACCTCACCGAAAATAATGACACCACATCCGGTCACATGGTCTGACAAAAGGCGAACCAGAGGTACTTAGGGATACACTGTGCCCTTCGAGCAGGTGAGCTAAAAACCCAGAATCCTATTGATACAAGGTAGATAAAGACAGGAGTAGAGATCTATAGCCCTACTGTACAGTAGATAAAGACAGGAGTAGAGATCTATAGCCCTACTGTACTGTTGATGAAGACAGGAGTAGAGATCTATAGCCCTACTGTACAGTAGATAAAGACATGAGTAGAGATCTATAGCCCTACTGTACTGTTGATAAAGACAGGTGTAGAGATCTATAGCCCTCCTGTACTGTTGATAAAGACAGGTGTAGAGATCTATAGCCCTACTGTACTGTTGATAAAGACAGGAGTAGAGATCTATAGCCCTACTGTACGGTAGATAAAGACAGGAGTAGAGATCTATAGCCCTACTGTACAGTTGATAAAGACAGGAGTAGAGATCTATAGCCCTACTGTACAGTAGATAAAGACAGGAGTAGAGATCTATAGCCCTACAGTACGGTAGATAAAGACAGGAGTAGAGATCTATAGCCCTATAGTACTGTTGATAAAGACAGGAGTAGAGATCTATAGCCCTACTGTATGACGCAGCAATGCCTGTTAATTAACCGTGATACCTAGCTATTGTTATCATCACCTCACACAGGTTATACCTTCTTGTTGACCTTTTTGTTTATTTACTTAACTTTTTGTTTATTTACTTAACTTTTTATTTCATTCACGGAGAAATCTACAGTTTGATGCATGTGAACATAATCTCAAGTAATGCTTAGTTTTTTTTAGGATCCTGCCTGTTACACATAGGCTTTTCACAATGATTTCTTCAACTTTGCATTTTTTCAGGACAAACTTCGAATTCCAATTGAAGGGGTTTTCAGGGATTATCTATAAACTCTGTATAATGTATAGAGTCCCATCACAGCCTCTACAATGCTGTATGTTCCCATCTCTTATTGCATATACACAAATCCAAAAAAAATTGTCTTCATATTTTTTTTTAAACCAATCAATCATGTCATTCTCTGGCCAATTTACATATGTTTGGTGAGGATGGCTGGGGTAAGGGGATACGATTTCAGGCAGCCTAGGAAGGGGGTCTGATAAATCAAATCAGTAATAAGAGTGTGATTTCCAATCGTACAAACTAAGTCACTCAGATAAACGTGGTTTATCTCCAGTCACATGCTCCTCAAAAACACTAGTTGGGCAACATATAAACTTCAGTTAATTAACACTGACGAAATGAGCTCAGAAAGATCCTTTTTTTGTCGGTGATATAAGATCCCCCACTGATAAGGCCGAGCTTATTTATGAGGCCACAAAGATTCAGCCTCTTTTCACGGCAATCTAGCCACCGATCAAACAAATCAATAATGAGGGGAGACAACAGTGCTTCGTAGCCTGCTCTCCTACCTCTGATGGAGCAGCCGAAATATCAGGGGCGTAGGGCACCTGTGCCTTCTCCAGGGCTGTGATAAATACCGGCTTTATTCAGAGGGACATTAATAGATGTGATCACTATTTTAGGCATGGAGGATGTCGAACACTCTCTAAGTTCTCTATTGTGTGTGGGGGGTCAATACCAATAGGAACCAAGGGAGGGGCAGGGGTTGTGTTTGTTTGTACATCCTGTGTGTGAGGGAGGGGCAGGGGTTGTGTTTGTTTGTACATCCTGTGTGTGAGGGAGGGGCAGGGGTTGTGTTTGTTTGTACGTCCTGTGTGTGAGGGAGGGGCAGGGGTTGTGTTTGTGTGTACGTCCTGTGTGTGAGGGAGGGGCAGGGGTTGTGTTTGTGTGTACGTCCTGTGTGTGAGGGAGGGGCAGGGGTTGTGTTTGTGTGTACGTCCTGTGTGTGAGGGAGGGGCAGGGGTTGTGTTTGTGTGTACGTCCTGTGTGTGAGGGAGGGGCAGGGGTTGTGTTTGTGTGTACGTCCTGTGTGTGAGGGAGGGGCAGGGGTTGTGTTTGTTTGTACGTCCTGTGTGTGAGGGAGGGGCAGGGGTTGTGTTTGTGTGTACGTCCTGTGTGTGAGGGAGGGGCAGGGGTTGTGTTTGTGTGTACGTCCTGTGTGTGAGGGAGGGGCAGGGGTTGTGTTTGTGTGTACGTCCTGTGTGTGAGGGAGGGGCAGGGGTTGTGTTTGTGTGTACGTCCTGTGTGTGAGGGAGGGGCAGGGGTTGTGTTTGTGTGTACGTCCTGTGTGTGAGGGAGGGGCAGGGGTTGTGTTTGTGTGTACGTCCTGTGTGTGAGGGAGGGGCAGGGGTTGTGTTTGTGTGTACGTCCTGTGTGTGAGGGAGGGGCAGGGGTTGTGTTTGTTTGTACGTCCTGTGTGTGAGGGAGGGGCAGGGGTTGTGTTTGTGTGTACGTCCTGTGTGTGAGGGAGGGGCAGGGGTTGTGTTTGTGTGTATGTCCTGTGTGTGAGGGAGGGGCAGGGGTTAATGTGTGTGTTTGTGTGTACATCCTGTGTGTGAGGGAGGGGCAGGGGGTGTGTTTGTGTGTACGTCCTGTGTGTGAAGGAGGGGCAGGGGTTGTGTTTGTGTGTATGTCCTGTGTGTGATGGAGGGGAAGGGGTTAATGTGTGTGTTTGTGTGTACATGCTGTGTGTGTGAGGGAGGGGCAGGGGTTGTGTTTGTGTGTACGTCCTGTGTGTGGGATGGACGGGAGGGGATACATAAAAGTTATAGACAAAGGTTTATGTAAATGTGTGTGTGGTGTTTCAGGATGGTAGGGGTTGGGAGTACTATATTTAATTTAATTTAATATTCAATACTCTGAATTGAGGAACTGGACAGAATATCTAGATCAGGAAATGGACAGATTATCTAGATCTGGGAATGGACATGTTTTTCTATTTGTCCTGGTTTGTAAATATCTGAGGCAGGTTACACCACGGGCCATGTTTTTCTATGTGTCCTGGTTTGTACATATCTGAGGCAGGTTACACCACGGGCCATGTTTTTCTATTTGTCCTGGTTTGTACATGTCTGAGGCAGGTTACACCACGGGCCATGTTTTTCACAGGTTACTTGGGGACTGGCTGGACCACCCATGGCATTCCTCATATTGAGTATCAAACACAGTATGGTATTAATGCGCTGAGAAAATCAGTTTGGCTGTCGTTGGGAAGCCCTTACCCTAGCGTCCCCCTCCCCATTACTTCCCCTCCCCCACTCATCGACATCATCATCAGTACCAGTAATGAAAGCCAAAATTATCGCTACATCTAAATACCATTACTACACAGTTTGAATTTTGTCTTAGGATCTCTGGGCTTTAATTGGCTTCTATGTTGCACCGATCCATGAGAATGCTTACCAGTCATGAAATACAATAGCCTGAGGCACACCATTACTGTCACACAGACGGCTTCAGCAGCACCGACAAAACCCTCACTAGTGAACAAATCTTCACCCAAAACATTATAATATTAGTAGCAATAACCAGGTAGAAACACCTCTTTTATAACGTTGATTTAAATACTATTGGTGATAACACCCAGGCTACAAACAATAATAAGACATTGGAAAAAATCTTGAAAAATTCTCTTAATTTGATAATACACAGGTCTCCCTCATGTTTGTATAATACAGCACATTATTAGTCACAGTAACAGAAACTAGAGCAGCGTTGATAGTTCTTTTTATCATATAAATAACTCTGAAATGATCAATCCTCCCAGAGAACTTGAATATACCTTTTATGGCTGTAATTCAGTCAAATAAAATGCACATTAGAAACTCATGCACTTATAACAACACAATACAGGTTCTAACCAATGACATCTTAATTACATGAATAAAATAATGACAATAATAAGATGTTAAGAGAATAAAATCTAGCACAAAATTCAGGTACAATGCGTAAGGTAGCATAGAAAGATTTATATAATATCCTTAAAATACTGATTTAAATAGTTTTAACATAACTGTTACAATCCAAATACAACCGATTTTCTCTATAGAGACTTGCTGTGTTTGACCAGATAACTTGTTTCTGTCTAAAGACTGTCTCACTCTGAAAGTTTACCAACATTTTGTAAAATATGTACTTGATCAAGGATAGTTTAGTGATGTAAGTCATAGAATATATATACACGTCCAGAGTTTGATAAAATCAAGTTTGAACGTTTTAAAACTTTGACCTATAAGGCTACAGATGAAGTGTTTCAGACAGTAATGAGGGAAACCATAGCAATACGATCGGTGATCAATTGTGGATACTTAAACCTGATAATGATGTGCTTGTACTTTGTATTTTAAAACGAAACTCTCCCACCCTCAAATCTAAACAATAAATCACAGTCATATTACCGAGACAAGAAACTAAACAGCGAATGTTGGGACAGTTACTTGTATCTGGTGATTTTTTTTCTGTCTTCTTCAACAGTAACATTGAAATTAT